CCCCTCAACTGTCTTCCTTGCAGCATTGCAAATGCGCTGCAAGAATATTGGTACTCTGCTGTTGGGCACTCCAGGGATACTCTGCGCTCGGGCACTGCAGGGATACTTGTCGGTTGGGCCCAGCAGGGATATTTGGTGGTTGGACAATGCAGGGATACTCTGCACAGGGATACTTTGCGGTTGGGCACTGCGAGGATACTTAGTGGTTGAGCACTGCAGGGATACTTTGCACTTGGGCAGTGTAAGGATACTCTGCGGTTGGGCACTGCAGGGATATTGGGTGGTTGGGCACTAAAGTCAGCTTCCAGTCGGGCGAACAGCCCCACTGCGAGGGTGGGGAACAACAGCACTGGCGCGGCTGCAACGCAGGCGGCTCAAGCATCCTGGAAGTTAAGCCGGGCAGCTGGCATTGCAAGTTCGTAGTATCCTTACATGCTTTGCGGGTGCATTGCATCGTTCGGATCACATGAGACATGTAAGCTGCGTCACAGTACCAAGCGTCCACAGCACCCGGGATGTCGGGCTCCGGCTTAGGTGCCAAGCTCCTTGATCCTTTGGCTTGGCAGCGCTGGAGCTTTCTCGCCAGTTCCTCTGGCGAGCTGAAACCCTTGGCCTCGAGGCACAAGGCAGGGAGCCAAGAAAAAACGCGAACTATGTCGTCACAAAACGTGATCTTGAGAGCCTGCAGGTATGCCTTGCATGCGGACTGGACAGATCCGGTCTCTTCGAGCGGAGCCGACGGTGCTGGCATGGCAGCCGAGACCTGCTGTCCAACTTACAGAACTGCAAACACACGAGTTTCTGTCTCCCTGCCTCACAGCATGCCAAGAAGCTGCCAGCTGGCGTCGGGCAACAGTCACCGCTTAAACCCGAGCACTTCCCGTGAGCGGCGCCTAGGTGTGCAAAAGCTGTCACAAGCGTGTTGGCTGGACCTGCATGTTTCCACCATCATAAAAAATGCACGTCTATGAAATATATATGCATATATATCAATATATGCAACCTAGTCACACGCCGGCGGGGTGGTCGGCGGGCTTCCGCGCACGGCTACGGAAATTGCCAGCAGCCGTAGACACATGCTGGCAGACATTGCTGGTTTCTGGTTCAAGTAAATTCTGCGGTCAAAGTCATGCTCAGACTGCCTGTGGAAGTTGGACGAACCCTCACAGAAACCAGCTATGGGCAAAGGCGCGGCACAGCAAAGGATTTGCGCAGGTTGATTGATGCTTCTCTTGCACGGTCTGCTTCAACAGGCCTTCTCCCAGTCATCGTCATCATGCCTAACCAAGCTGCGTCTATCCTAGCATCCCATGCCCCGTACAATGACACAGTGGATGAGTCCAATACCCATCACCCACCTCGCAGCTTGCAGGCACAAGACGACACTGGCTGAACCATGCCAAGCGAGCGACATCTGCTGTCATCTCTCCGCCTGAAGGCAGTCCGTGCCGTCGTCATTTATCGTCCACTTTGTTGACATGCGACATGTAACAACTTCCGATGACTTTTTTTTTGGACAAGCTGCTCTTGGCTGCATTGAACGCTGCCTCAAACTCTGCAGCCTTTGTATCAACAGTCTGAAAACAGGAGCCGGATGGAGCCGGAGTTACGGCGTTAACATGACGTGCGGCCAGTTCTTCTGTCTTGAAGCGGAGCGCAAACTTTTCCACCTGTAACAGAGCATGAACCACTATGCAACAGCATGGCACGCTTTTGTCATGAAATCTTTCAGCTTGGGGCAGATGTGCCGTGCCTTTTGCTCCTCATCCGCCCAGTCCAGTGCAGTCCACACCTAGCTGCATGTTGACAATCGGCAAAGCATGGCAAAGCCAAGATTCACATGTTTGAGGCCATGGCCCAGATCTTGGCGTTGTTGGCGTTGTGCGCTAGTTCCTCACCAACACACCCAGCTAGAGGACATGCTCAAGAACGACGCAGACAAAGAACAGAAACGTCTGAGACACAGGCGCAGTACGGCTTTTGGTCGATGATGTAATGGTTTGCGACGATCTTGGAAGTCCTTGATGTATACAGATAGGGAAAGGCCCCACCCCCTGACTGGTTGCTTTCACCAGGGCATTTGCTTGTCTTGCCGCATCAGGAAGCGACACTTCCCACTCTCTATGTGCCTTTCGAATACAGTGCGCAAGCACAACTTTCGGTAGGCTTCTGAGAAGTTGAGCCTCAGAATCTTTGAATCGCCTGTTCCTCGCTCTTTCCACTCACCGTCCACAAATCGAAGAAGCTTCGAGCGCTGACTGTACATCTCCTGCACATTGCCCACGAACCAAGGCCCCTCTGCTCAGATTGCTGGGTGCCGGGTCCTCCTCTTCTTCTTCGCCGGTTTCAACATATTCCTTGACTTCCAAGGACACTGAGGGAGCCCAACCAGGAATCTGTGTGACCTTACCGCAGCAAATCCAAATCACTCGATAATTCAGCAGGCGATCAAGCTGCTGGCTCAATCTTCCGCACTATCTCTCAGCTTCGAACTTCCTCTTCCAAGTCATACTGCTCGTCATCCTGAAGACATGACAAAGCAGCAACAGCAGCATCCTCAGCAATAATGCGCGGCGCCTGTGCTCCATTTGCGGTAGCCCCAGCCCCAGCCCCAGCCCACCTTCAAAGAGCATCGAACATCAAGGCCTTACCAACTTCCGATGGTGATCTGTGAGCAGCGCAGTCCGGGCGATGGGGCGGCTGCCGTCCTAGGAGTGCAGCTCACTTCGAGCTCAAATCATTCATTCAGCCGTTTGCTGAGGAAGCCGCGCTGATCCCAGGAGGCCTCCAATGACGGATGTTTCGGCAAGCTATGCCGTCAAGCTTATTTTTCCCCACTTGCCGAGCGTGCTTACATCATCCACACGAAGCCATTCAATCATCCTGGTCCCACCCGACAACTCTTCAGCCCTGAAGTTCCCACAGGTTCAGCTTCTTTTTGCGAATCGATGCTGAGCATTTCCTACCAGCTCTTGTGCGTGGACCCGAATTGGTGCATCGGGCATGACTCGGACTGCTCTTCGGCCTGCGCACCACCTGCAGATCACGGCCATGAAACTTCAGATGCCATCCGCGCCTGCACATCTTGCCGCGCAGCTGGACTCAGCACGGGAGCGTTACAATCCGCACGCGATCATCCCAGTGCTCAGTCGTGGATGCGTCGTCGTCTTTTCGGATGCCTCGGATCCTCGCACAGTTGCTCCAGGGCTTCTGAGTAGGCTGCTCGCAATCGTCCACATCTGAAGTCCGGCGATGTCAGTTGACGAGACTGGATTCCCTTCTTCATGTGGCGTAGCAAATCTTTGGCCGACATTCGCATGAGCGCCTCTTCTGAGCTTCTGCCTGATAAGCGCCCGCTCTCACATGAGCTGGGGGAGGAATGCTCCCTGGCCCTCGAAGCCTTGTGAGCGCTTCGCGAAAAAAGCTGTTTACAGTAGTTGCTGATGAAGTCCCTGTTCGAAACACTCGCTTTCGAAGAGTTGGCCGCATGCACCACGTCTGGGCCCATTCTTTTCTGGCAACTTTTTGACTGCTCCTTTATGCATGTCTTGCTTTGCGACTGCGTAGTTGGATGCTGCTTTGGCTCTGCGTCCTCGCTTGAGGCTATGCACGTACTTGCATGACTGGCACAACTTGTAGAGCTGAGGATGCCCTCCGTCTCTGGCGAGAGCGGGGAAGTTGCGGCTGGCGACGCTCGGTGAGATTCCGCAGTCTCAGATTGCACTGCTTTCTCTTTGGCACGTTCTATGACACTTTTGTCGAGGCCCCAGACAGCATCCTGGCACGAGAGCGGTCTGAGGGAAGAACCAAACTCAAAGCCAAGTGGAATTCCATGATGGCTTAAGGGATCCGCGCTGCAAATGCGAACAAAGAATTGTGCTGGCAAACTTGCTGTGGAAGCCTCAGGCAACGACATGCATACTTTCAAGTCAGACCCCGCTGGCAAAGCTAGATCCACTTGCCACAAGTTGCTAGCAGCAGGCTCAGCAACTTCTGGCGGCGCAGCTGTTAAGCGCAAATGTAATCTTCTCGCCGGAATGTTTGAGAGCCACTCCAAATAGATAGCTGACGGAGACTTCATGGAAGCTGCTGTCAGCACGATTGCAGGCCTTGCTGGATCAAAACGGGCACTTGTTCGTGTGTAGAGACTGAGCTGCCAGCCTGGCCCGTGGTCCGGGCAAGGATAATGCGGGCCCCAAGCATGTAAGTTTCTGACAACATCAGGCCCAAATTCGCTGTTCAGCTTTCTTTCCATTCTCACAGCTAAGGCAGGTCGTCGCAGAGAGGCCTCTTGGTCAGCTTTGTTGACTGAAGTTGTCAAAGCTTGTGGGACAGACGACTTCGAAGGCGTCGGCTGCACAGGTGATTCTGGCTTCCAGCCGATTGCCGAAAGCCCATCTGCAGGAACTTTCCAGTCTCCAGGATACAGCGGGGGCTCCTCTGGAGCCGTCATTTTGGACTTCTTGGAGGCCGAGATGTCGCATACATCGACACTTTCGTGGGCAGCTTCCACATGAGGTCTCGGCACAGCCACTCCGCCAAGCTGTGCTGCCATCATCCGCCGTGCTCCAATAAACTTTGTGGCTGAAGCCGAGGAACTCTCATGTTTGTTGGGCAAATCCTTCTCCCGTGCCCTCGGTAAATTTGTGGGGATCGGCAGCCGCCCAGGCACTAGCTGAAAGGTCTCGGTGTTTCGATCTGCAAAAAACAGAGTGATTCCGGGTTTCCACTCCTTTGCAGCATGGGCATCCAACCTCCGCTGTCCTAGAAAGGTGCCATGTGATGAGCCAATATCCATTATGAACACCTGCCCGTGCCAGTTTCGCAGCAGCAGCGCCTGTTTCCTGGAAGCTGTGCGGGTACGTAATTCCACATCCGGTTGGCGTCCACCCTTGGCAAAGTGGCGCCTGCCGAAATGAAACCAGGCCCGTTGCCCCAAAAGGATTAGTTCCGGTGGCGCACCAACCGGCTGTCGTAAAATTTGAGTACAAGCATCGCCGAGGCGGGTATCGGGAGCTGAGCACCATGCAGGGAGTTGGCAGGGTGCCTCATCCTCACATGGAGAGATGAGCAGCGTTGCAGGGGGCGCGGAGGCGGCCATGATGCATCATGAATGCGAGGAATTAAACTATCTAGGACTTGTGCGATGAGTTAAACGATATTCTTCATCTGAACCGTTTATCTGAGCTGGAGTACACGCAGCAGTCAATGAAGTAAAACCGACTTTGACCAGTGCTGGCGAGTGGAGAAGGGCCTCCGGATGCTGCACTGAAAAGGCCTCCCGAAGACGCAGGCGTGCCTCAGAGTTGCAATCCAGCTACCGGCTGGACAAAAGACTCATTTAAGCGAACTGTGGGACCTTAGCATCTGGCTAAACAATGTGCTGCCTGTGCTCGCCGTCGTGGTGCTGTTGCTGCCAAAGATCCCGCCACCGGAACTCTCAGGCAGGCCGGCGAAAAGGGATGCACCGCTGCCACTGCTTCCTGAGAACAGGCCGTTCCCAGAGCTGCTGGAACTGCCGGAGTTCCCGAAGAGACCACCGCCTCAGCCATGTGTGAAGGAAACGACTGACCAGGCGACCAGACAATGCTGAGCACGGCACCAGAGAAAAGACTGCTCGAGGCATTGCTGAAGAGGCCACCCGTACTGGAAGCAAAGCTCCTTTCAAATGCTGGCTATTCGCCACTCGGAGGCTACACCGAACAAGCACAATTCTCATGCTGGGCCACAGACAAGTTGGCGAAAGGACCT